TCCTTATTAAACATGTGCGAATTAACGTTCAGCCTCTCAAAGCAGGACGAAAAGTTGCGCGTATGTGGCATGATTTAGCAAGATAAACTGTAAAAAACCAAAAATTTTGCAGGTTGTGATAAGGCCAACACCGAATTGCTCAAAGACACCGGAGTGGTACAATATGACCGTGCCAAAGAACAGTCTGGATATAAATCTGAGAATCAGGATAGCTATTCGGGTTGAAAAGCCACCAAATCTGAAGTACTGCGGGTATTGCTACGCATTGGGAAGGATAGCTTGGAAAAAATGGAAAAGGCGATTCTTTTGTTTAGTACAGGTACCTGCTGCTCACTTACTGATTTTTTTCTAAATACCATTTTTTGTCCTGAGATTCGGCAGCTTTTTTCTGCCTAGAACAGGAATTGCGGGTTCCTCCACCTGATCGTTTTGCTCGTTCCTTACATGCCAGCCGATCATGGCAAAACGAGTGAATTCATATAAACCCTCGAAATCCCGCACACCGCTTGGTTAACGTTGAGTGCTGTCTTCTGACATCCTGTCGAGAGATATTCTGAATATTTCCCTTCCATTTCATACAATGCGTATTTGTTTCTTTGATTACATCGCACTTAGTCTCATTTCGCTAGGTGAAGAACTCATAGTTTGGCGCCGTCACAGCGCTATCAAATGTTTTTTGGTATTTCAGGAGAAAAGGCGACTGACATTTCTTGAACCTCTAGCAGCCCACCCTGTGCTGAAATGTTCATGTGTATAAGGCTGGAAAATACCTTCGTAGTATACGTATTATATCGAGCTTACTCTCTTCTCTGCATTTTGATCAAGGGCTCTGTAGGATAGCTTTCCCTCACGTAGTATTTATTTATATGAGTGGAGAGAAAATCAATTATTTTTTAGTTAGCATCCAGTCCTTTTTCATTAACAGCCCTTCTAATTATTAATGTTTATGCTAGCTGCCCGCTTTCAGCTCTCTCAGCTCCAGAAATAGTTTCATCCGTCAAGTATTGGCTGGACAAATTTGCAAGAACACTCCAGTGCTCGTGTCTAAGAACTAGCTCCCTTGGATTTAATGCCATTATTTTGGGATTTTCTACCATATTTTCTTCGAAAGACTGCATTTCTGACTTGCTAACCAATATATTGAGGATTTTACGGTAGTTCTCAAGATTT